ATGACCCGATATCAGTTTGTGAACATCATTCAGCTGTGATATTTTGTCCTGAAATGAAGAGAATGTAAATGTGTGGCAAAAGCTAGCATTGGCCATAGCACATATGTAAACATTAAAGCGTCAGCAGATGAAAGTTGGCTAACTTTAGCTAGCAGTTATGAAATCAAGTCTTTTATTTATAGCGTGCGTTTAAAAGCAAGAGCTGCTCTAACCAAAGGGATTTACAGTGAGATTAGACACATGTGATTTAAAACACTATAAATAAGGAGAAAGGTGTTTATTGAAATGAGCACAATATACAGAGTCAGGAACGGCTCCATGACGATCATTAGGAGACTGAGGAGAAGAACAGAGGTTTAAAAAACATCAAGAGAGTGAAAAGTCTAATTGCGGATCCCAAACTGTTCAACAGTTTAGGGCCGAGGAATGAAAATGCTCCATCCAGTTTGGTCCTGGCGACAGCTCGTGCCGTGTTTTAAAAGCAACGACAAAACTGCCAGTACAGCACAGCCATGGGCTCGCTTCTTGGTAGCAGCAAGAAAGTTTGGCTGCTGCGTTTTTGAACAACTTCAGGCTAAAAATGGCCGACTGACTATACTTTTGATGACGGTAATTGTGCAAGTTATCTGAAATGGAAAATGCCAGTACTGATAACTGAGCTGATTTGTTTATGCATTTTAAACCTGAATCATGGATGAAACTAAGATTTCTTTCATCACTCAATAAAAGAGGACCGAGGTCATTTGATTGCGGTGGTGGGGGTGACTGCCTGGCCAAAGGTCAGACCCTCACTTTGAGTCTGGTTAGCAGAAGGAGGCTTTTTCTGCCGTGCAGGATTCTTACATCCTCAATAATAAGAATGTAGCAGCAAAACCTCTGGACATCCGGAAATGAGCAACCTTTCAATTTCAACAAGAAAATCATGTTATTTCTTCTCAAATGCTGCACAGTATTCTTTCAGTCCTTGTTGTTTTTATATGATGAACAGAAACTATTATCTGTAATCAGAGCTCCTGAAGAACGGCATCTTTAGAGGTCATTGCTGTTTTAAATGTGATTATTTTTCTGTCTGCTGCTTCTTCCTTTCTTTCTGGAAGTGGCTGAAAACAGAATATAAAAACCATAGTTCAGCAGAGGTGTAGTGATATTAAAAATCTACAATAAAAACAGCAAAACATTATGATTACTTTGGGAAACACTAGCTTTGTTTTTTTGTAATTAGATTTTTCTCCCTTGTGGGGAAAGAAGAGAACTAAAAGGGCTTTCTGACAGTTTTTTGTGAGCACAAAAAAGCCGGGAGCAAAAGCTGAACATTTCTTTGTTTAACTAAGGTTTATAATATCCTTTTTCAAGGCATAGATGCTATCAAAACATGTGAGAACCTGCTTCAACATTTCCTGCTTTGTTTTGATTCACACTATAGAGCAAGACTGCACTATGAGCCCGTAACTGTGTGCGCAATCAGAGTGATCCCATTCTGAAGCACCCTTTAAGTCAGCTTTTTATCCAGCGTCTAACCTCGTGAGCAGTTTTCTCCACTGACCAGAGAGCAGCACAGGTCCAGTCCTCAGAAGAGAGCCTTAACGGGGCTTTGGAAGATTGGGGTTACACGCCGAGCCCGCACCGTGCCTCACCGCGCAGAGGTCAAAGTCATCAAATCATCACTGCCAGCTTGGGAGGCACCGGAGCCCGTTTCCTGACACTTTGGGGCTTGTGGGTTTCAGAGATAACATTAGAAAGGTGCTGTGACGGAGAGCGTGCCGTCGTCAGGCAACAGCACTGCAGCATGCTCGCAGTCTCAAACCGTCAAGACGACACTCAGGTTATTTAAAGGAGGATGATTAATGTGTTGAGAAATGGCAAGCACCTGCCCCAGCTGCACTGCCTCTCCTGTGTGTGTGTGCGTGTGTGTGTGGGCGGCTGGATGCGCGAGCACATATACTGTATCCATATATGTGTTCGCTTCTTTTTGTTCGTGTGTGTGTCTGGTGTGTATTTTTGCATGTCTATTGTGTGCATTTTTCACAGACGCTTGGTGTGACACTGTGTGTGTGTGTGTGTGTGTGTGTGTGCATTGCGCTGACTGGGCCGGTGTGCTGGCAATTAGAAAAACCACCAGTGGCAAGGTGCACATTAATCATGTTCCTCAGCTGAAAGAGAGAAATGGGGCGGAGATGGGGAGAGGAAGAGAGGGAGGAGGAGAAAGAATAATGAGAGACGTGTCTGAGGCATTCAGAGCCGCTCCGTCGCACTGTTTGCTCTGACATGATGTTGGAAGCATTTATGAATAGGCAAGGTCACGACAATGGGCCCAAACCCACTGGGCAGGGAGAACCAGAGGTTGATCTAGTTGCACTTTTTCCACAGCGACAACTTGAGCCAAGGACTGTGTCGCGCTCTCATTGTACCTTACAATGTGCGGCATGAATGGAAGACTAGATAGTAAGCAGGGCTGCACAGTTATGATCAACGTGATTATCACAATTATTTGTCACTATTATTCTTTACACTGTGATGGCCTGAGTGCATCTCCTAAAAGTCTTTCTTACTGACTATTTTCCCAAAGCCTTCATTACTCGCTGTGTTTTAGCGGAGATGCGTTCTGGTGATTGCGTTGGTGATTTCGGCGCGTGTTTGTGAGCTGGATGGGTGCGCTGACGTGCGCTGGCTCGCTTTTATGGCTGTGTGAGTCGTTGGACAATTAATGTTGGCAGTCATCGCTTTTCTTGGCCTTCACACACGAATCATCAGTTTGTGGTGTGTTTTCAGTCAGTTGAGTAAGTCTGCAGAACTCATTGCATGTGATTTCTTCTCGGTTAACATCGTTTGTCCTAAATGCAAAATACTTCCAGAAAAAGTTATCACAATACCTGAATTTAAACTAGGAAATACTCAGTACTCTATACCGTTTTCAGCAGCATTCTTTGTTTGACACAAATTTGAAACTTGACAAACTAATAAATGCTGTCGACAGAGTTGTCAAAGGCTATGCAATCTTTTAGTACACCTAGACTGGACTACTGTAACGCACTGTGTACTAGAGTTAGTCATCTCTAGCTAACTTATAATTCAAAGAGCCTTAGTAAGATAATTGACTGGGACAAAAAAGAGAGCTTACATTACTCCAGCATTGACAGCCTTGCATCGGCTTCCCGTGCATTACAGGACGGAGCATAAAGCAGCGCTGTTTGTGTTTAAAGCCTTAAATGGTCTTGTGTTACACTCCCTGGAGATCGTTGAAGTCTGCTTCCCCATCACTCTTCCCCACCAGGTGGTCAAAGCTTATTTCAAAAGAGAGTCGTGCCTTTGCTGGTGTTGCACCAAGACTCTGGGATGACCTCCCAAGTGACCTCAGACAAACCTCAGCTGCGACTTTCTTTATGACCTTTTTTTTTGCTGATCTCTGCAATAGGTTGTTTCTTTGATATTTATGTATGTAATGTGAATGTGTGTCATTTGAATTTTAGGATTTTACAAATGTCCTAAATAAATAAAATCTACTTACTAACTCTTCAACTCATTATTTTTTCCATTTAGTCATCAGAATTGATGTGACAGTAAATATCAACTAATCCCAGCTAACCACATCAGGGGTAATAATGACCGATTACAGGTATTTGGCAGATATATCTGTTAATCCATAACATAGTTCGGTTGCTAAACAATGTCATATGAGAGAGCCACGTTAGGTGAGCGTTCATAGGTTCAGTCATGGCTCATCTCCCCCTCCATAAAAAGCTTGGATTTCAGATGTAAACAACATTAGGACCCTAATGATAAGCAACCAGTAAATCAGCTATTTTTGATTGATAATTAAATGATTAATTCATTGTCATAGCAGCTGCCCATTTTCCGTAGACTGACTAATGGGATTAATTGATTATTTTTTTCAGCTCTTGTTAGTCATAATGCTGCATTCTCCCCGAGAATGTACCGAGCCAAAAGCTCTTCCATGATTGTAGTGTAACACTCATGTTTGGAAAAGAAGTATAATTTTTTTAAATGCATTTAAATGTTAACGGTTACATTTTAAAGCTTTCCTCTTACATTGCACTTATTTTCACGCACACTGTGTGAGTTCTACACTGTAAAGTAGATGGCAAAAATATAGGAATGAATCACGTATGTTGTATTTGTGCTACAGTAATAATGTGCCCGTATTCGTCGGGGACTTTGCCATATATTGTTGGGGGCGGGTGTATACCAACATTTTTACCAAAAAATACTGATCTGATGGCTTCTATTATTTATATACTTACAGTATAGAGCTTGCTTCTTCTCCTTTGGGGTATGCTCCATGACTCATTTTCCTCTTCAAGTCAACTCTTCAACCAATCAGAATTCTACTTGCGTGTATCGTCATATCCGTTGGCTTTTTGAAGGACTGTTGGTTGAATTCCCACAGTCCCTGTCCCCGCATAGCCAAAGAGTTAGACAAACAGGCACCAATGCGGGACCATAAATCCCAAATAACACTACTCAATAGAAATAAAAATGCTCAAGTTCTCCCCAATGAATTGACCTGAATTAAATTTGTTGCTGCCTACGAGACAGAGAGTGAAACACCGGCTTCTACAGCAGTCAGCGAGGGTTTTTTTTTGTTGTTTTTAGGAACTGAATGAACCCAAATACATAAACATTGTGGTCTGCAAAGGTACTCTGCTGCATTAGATGCAGTATCTCAAACTCAACAGAAACAACAACATAAATATTGAATAGCAAGAAGTCCTGCAGACGTACATTAGTAGTTTTAGTTTTGTTGTATGTCCAGAAATCCTTGCTGTTGGTTTATGTTAACTTTTACTTTGTGTACATGACCCACAAAAGTCTGAGACGTTGGGGTGTGACTGCAGGTTATTAAGGCTTCTGTAATGATTCTCTCTAGTTGGAGGACCTGATGTCTTTATATGTAAACTATAACGTCTGTCATATATAGAAGCCATTACCTTCTCTACAAAGTGTGAAACCTGTCTGATAAAGTTTTTCCTTTTGTTTTACAGATGTATGATTGCCGATGAGGTAAGCACACACAACGCTGGCTCAGGAAATCTATTTTCCAAAAAAAAGAACCTGAGAGTTTGCTGCATGCCTTCCAAATTAATTTGTCAGCCCTCTGCTGCACTCCCACGTGCTTAATCGGTTTTGACACTAGAATCATTCTGAGACCTTATTACTCTTGGGCCTCACATCAGCTCAGCCGTCATATGCAATTTGCCACAGAGTCAGTGCACAATTGACTTGTTTTTCTCCCCATTCGCCATGTGTTGTTGTTTGGTGGGCCCAGATGGGTCTCGGGAAGACCGTGCAGGCCATCGCAGTGGCGTACACCTTCAGGCAGGAGTGGCCCCTCCTGGTGGTGGTGCCCTCGTCCCTCAAGTACCCCTGGATCGAAGAGCTGGAGAGGTGGATCCCTGAGCTGCAGCCTGGAGACATCAATTTGGTGGAGAACAAGAGCCACACCATGTAGGTCATCGCACCACATTACCCCGTTTGACCTTCATCCCTAAAAATCACCTCCATACTCATGTCAGCCTCTTAGTGTCTGGTTTTACTGGGACTAAATTTTGGTTTTGACTCTTCTGACGTTCTTAAAGCTGGTTTGACTGTTTTATTAAACTAAAGCTCTAAACACAATAGCTGCTTGTTTACATTTAACAGCAAAACTAGAAATCAAATTGAGTTTCTGTCTATTTTTGGTCTCCACCACATCCTGAAGGCTGATCTCTCTCTCTTAATTCTTAAATGCTCCCAACTGTTCACAAATAGCGCTCAACAGGTGGAGCAGGTCCTTATTAAAATGTATTTTTAAGATCAAGTTGAATGATCTCCTAAATATAGAATAAGCAATTTGTTCTACTCCAAATCAAAGGCTAATATTGTCACAATGACAAAGACTACAGTAGCTTAACGGCTTATTATTAAAGCAGCAGTTTGTAGCATCAAACTGCACATTACTGCTGCCGTGGTTGTGAAATTCTGGATAGATGGTGAATTATTAATTTTTTGTTTGTTTTGTGGTGTGACTTAGCGTGCACATTATTCGATGCTGTCTCGTTTACAGAGCGTTGCAGAAGGGAAGCTCGATACTGGCTTAAAAATCACATAAAGGTACTTAAAGGTACTGTTTTTGAACCCTGTAACGCCAAGTGTATCATATTTGATACATGAGAATTTGTGAGTTCTTGACTTCATCACCATCAGTGTGAGTTTTGTTTGTTTTTTTTTTAATTAAATTGCACAATACATTTATAAGCAAACATCACGCTTGACTGGTTAAATATATTGACTCAATACACCATGCTGTGGCACAAAGTGGTACTGCATGAAGGTACGGCCTGACTTTAGTTCAGCTTCAGCTGATAATCCTTTGATAGAACATACACAGGAATTTTGGGCAGCTGTTTCCTTCCTTTTTTAACACATGTAAGTAACTCTAAAAGAAAGACTTGTAGTTTGATTTTATAGAATATAATTTATTATCAATTCTCTGGTTTCAAACCCCCCAAAAAAAGAATGTCTGCTGCTAATACATTTAATGGTAAACTAATCATGTTTCCACCGATAACTTTGGTTTTCCTGTGTAGAAGCTCACTCAGGGTCTCTTCAGTACTCATAATATCCATTCAAAATATTGTGCGAGTGGACGGCGGCAGCCATTACTTGAATTTAAAGCGTCGTTGCCCTTACAGTAAGCTGCACAGCAGCATCTAACATCTCTTGTTACGACTTCTTCTCTCCGGCCCTCTGCTAATCATTTACTCTAAAAAGACGTAATAAAAGCGCGAATGTTCACGGTCACACTGTGTGAAGCGGAGGCAGCGTGATAGACGGCAAAGCTGGGCACGATAAATTAATCTCAAAGTGTCCCCTGGTGTCAAGAGCCAGCAGGGGCCGATGTTTGACAGCACTGACAGACAAATCATGTCAAGGCGACGTCTGCGATATTGAACAAGAGCTGAATTTATTTTATTTATTTATTTTTTCCCACGCAGGAAGGAAAAATGCTGGTGCTGGAACGTGCTTCATTTTGTTTGCACTGATTCAGGTTTCTGTATTGTGGATTAATGTTGCATATAAGCTTAGAAAACATCTACTTTTTCATCTTCTCAACTTTCCCCTAGTTTTTTTTTCTTTCTAATTTTTGAATGACATAAACTTTCTATAGTTGTGACTTGGATTAGATGGGGGGGGGGGACACTCCCAGCATCACAGATGAGGTGCAAAGAGGTTGTGAAAGCCTTCTGGGGAAAACGTGTCCTTGAACTGGATGTGTTAATGACTGAACGAGGAGGCAAGAAAAAATTATGCAGCACCTCCTCTCGGTATTTTGACTCACTTGTGCCTTTGTAGAACATGAATGGCACCTTAGGTTTATTTCAGCTTGGAAATGTGTGTCTGTGAGCGCCTGCGTGTGTGGCGAAGTCAAAGAATTAAAGCTTGACAGATGCTGGAAATGTTTTTGATTTCTCAGAGATCATTATTGAGTTTCATGCAGCTGAATGTCGCCTGTGTGTTTGTTTGTTTGTTTATCTGTGCCTGTGTACCCGTGTCAGAGCTGCACATACCATAGCTGAAAAATATAGAAATTGCTATGAAGCCGTAAAAAAGGAGACGGATGAAAGGTTTGTGTGTGTGTGTGTGTGTGTGTGTGTGTGTGTGTGTGTGTGTGTGTGTGTGTGTGTCTTGACACGTATTTACGTCCATAGGCTCTTTTAAACAGCTTGGTTTGCTTTACCTTAAGGGCTCAGTTGCCAAGTCAATAACATCCGAACATTTAAGCAGGTGTCGAGTGTGTATACAATCCTGACTGTAAGCTGTAAACTACACGTTTACTACTTTTAAAGGGGGCTTCTTCAAAAGCTACAGTGATATACTCATCGCCAACAAACTCCATGAAAATCACCCATAAATTGGCACTAGATAAATAAATTAATACTCTAAGTACTGTTGGTGTACCCAAGGTCAAAAACATCACATTTTATTTGTACCATACAGCTAAAAACAATGAGTGACACGTGTGTTTTTTACACACATTATATTGTGGCTAAACAGTTGCAAAACTTTAAAGCCTTAAAAAACTACGTGTCTGTTATTTTTCATTGTAGAATTACTTTCACTTATGGATGCAGTAGGTTTGAGAGGAAGGCTCAGAAATCATATCTAATCCATACAGAAATACTCTTGACAGGTGCTACAACACCTTTGATTTAAACCTGTCGTGCTAATAATTGGACACAATCTTATATATAACACTTAAGTAAAATATTTGGATACTAATCCTCAAATGTTTGACGCTCCAATATAAATGCTAAATGTATCTTTGGCTCTTACTTTGTAGCTCTTTCATTTGAAGCTACTTGAGGAAATCTTTAACTAAATACAATTTAGATCATGTGGCCCAAGCTTAACGTCTAAAGCTTTCATTAGCTTTTAGAGGCTACAATGTACAGTCAGTTGTTAGTTAGCCTTTAGCCCCTCCACATATACAAAAAGTCAGTTACTAAGATTTTGGAGCATTTCTTTAAATAAACTTTTTTTATAAAAAACATTTTTTAAAAAGGATAAATTCTGGGCTATTTCTAAGCAATGAGATGGTATAACAGACTGTTGGTTTTGGTCTTTTTATGAGGCTTATTGTCAATAAAACAGTTACACAGCAATCATTGAAAAAGCACAAACAGCAAGCACAGAGTTACTAGTTTCACTGTAACCATAGAAACCTGATAATATTCTTGTTTCTTGTGTCACAATCGCAGGTAGTTTACAGATACACATTGTAATAAACACATTATTCATTTTGAATCTAAAGTTCACTGGTTTTACCCGTTTTACTTTGGCTATTGTTAGCTATCTCTGTCTCCCATTATTGTATTGGTTTCACACTACTGGTTTAACGAAAACCATTAAAAGAAGTGACTCTTTTTATTGGTCTTTTATGTGTATGCTGTTATCCTTTCAGTGGCATTGGTAGCAGTAAAGTGACGGTCCTGGGCTATGGCCTACTCACCACAGATGCACGCCCCCTGGTGGAGGCACTGAGCGGGCAAAGGTTTGCCGTGGTGGTGGTGGACGAGTCGCATTATCTCAAATCCAGGAACGCAGCGCGGACGAAGATTCTCGTTCCTCTCATTCAGAGCGCCAAGCGCGCCATCCTGCTCACCGGTACCCCTGCTCTGGGTCGACCTGAGGAGGTAATAAAACTTGATTAAATGGTAATTTAATGACGCCTCAGGGGGAAAGGATACAAATTTAACTGGAGTAAGCTGTTTTGTTTTCTCACCAAATGACACGGCAGATTCAAAGTTCCTTCAAACCCTGCTTTGAATTTTTAATGAAAAATTAAACACAGAGCTGAAGAGGAGGGAGCAGTGTGGCTAAATAGAGAAGGCTGCATTCGATAGATTTGGAACAGATGGATTTTTATAAAGGAATCCTGAGCCCACACTTGTGAGGAGAGATTAGCAGGCCAGCTCGGGGCTCAGCTCTAGCTGCTCACAAAGGTGCTCCACTGTGCAGCGCAGGTAGATCGCCATGGTAACTTGCTCTAGAGCAGGCTACGCTCGGATCCGACATTCGAAAAGCCAATTAACTCTCTCCGGCGTCACTTATCCTCCAGGATCCCGTGGTCTTATTTCAATAACCTTTGTTGCAAAAACTTCATTTACAAAGCCCGATATGAAGAGACACTGCACCGCAATAAATGAGACAAGTAATAAAAGAAACGCACAGGAGGAGGGGCGGACTATTGAATTTCAAGACAATAAGAAGGGCTGTTCACAGGACAATGGTGTTTGGAGAGCGGCTGAGCCAATCCCCTCTCCATAATGATTTATTATATCATTTTTATATATGTTATATTGAAGCTGTAGATTACAGCCATATTCCATCACTGCAGCTAAGGAAGATGAAGAAGACGTCGTGAATAGAAAATCCTTTCACCGTCTCAATGTGAAGAGACAATACAGTATCAATAACAAACACCGTGTGCCCGCTGTACTCCGATACAGCTGTGTGTTTAGGCATTTTAAACTTCCCACAATTCTTCCAGTCATCTTCTGCAGCTTCGGGAGCAGAGTAACTCTTAGCTTTTACTGTGTTTGTGTTGCTTAAATAGTCATGATGTTGGCTTAATGAATAATTGATGAAAGTTCATGTGTTTATTAGCTAATTCTCATCATCTTCTGTAAAGATTTTACCCCTTTTTTCCTTCCTTTTTGCAATTTCAGTGCAACATTTAAGAATAATTTGTTTTAGCACACCGTACAGAACAGCCTAATTGTGATAGCTGTTTCCTTCAGTGCACACACAACCACACGCACCCACCCACGCACATACACAGAGGCCCCATAATTATTCGTAACCTGCGGTGTATCTTATTTAAGTTTTTTTCCCCACCCGAATGTCTGTGCTGCATATTAAAAACATTACAACTTTATTTATTAAGGTCTTTTCTTCTAAACAGGTTTCCAAAGTGCTCTGCACATTTATGTAAAGGATATGTTAAATAACACCACAGTGGAGAAACTAAGAAGAGGCACCGCCTAAGACCCGAGCTCTTTCATGGCATGCATTTTTAATTTTTCTTTGCTATTTGGGCTGATTGGGACCTAAATAATGTAAAAACAAAGAATTACCAGATTTTTTTAACCTAATTTTTGTTTTTGAGAAAGATGAGATCCACATATGAGGACATTTGTTTCAAATTTTGATAGAACAGTGGCAGCATAATGTCCTCTTGAGTGCATATCAGGCCCTTGTAGAGAAAAATTAAGTATTTTGGTCTAGACGTCCCAAAATGTGATGTCCACATATGTGGACACCAGGTCCTAGGAGGTTAAAGACCCAGAAAAACATCTGTCTGTAAAATTGAAAAAAATCAATGATGAAGAGTATATTAAACATTCAGAGACACTATTTATACAGTTCAAATTTAAAAAATAAAAAGATAATCTGCTTTGCTGGAGTGTGTGTGTTGGTCTCTGCCTATTGGTGCAGTTTAATTTCTGACATCACTATGTTCCAGCTGAGCCACACCCACCCACCTCAAACCAAACAGGAGACGGTCAGAAATTGAAACCTCTACCCAACTTTAAAAAAAACCCAAACTGCTCCATCTTCAACATAAATAATGTATTGCATCATATTAGTATTTTTTAGTTAATATTTTATTAGTAATTATCAGTTAAAGTCCCCAAATTTGTTACATTGACTTGTTATTGCTAAGACTTGCTTACTCCACATTGTATGTTTTTAAAAACATAATAAATATGTGTTTTTATGTTTTAAAAGGAAAAGAAATGTTAGTATCACGGGGGACTATTTTCAGCTGTGGATTAATACACATTTGACTCAATTACAGTGTGTGTGTGTGTGTGTGTGTGTGTTTACACTAATGAAGGAACATGTTCGCTTACTGATGCTGATATTAGATTTTGAACAACAAAAGAGGTCGATCTCTGTGGTTCAAAGAGTGACATGTCAGCATTCACACACACACACACACACACACACACACACACACACACACACACACACACACACACACACACACACACACGTACGCTAGTAGAATCAATTCATTGCTTATTTTTCATTTGATGTGTTGAAGAAATAATATAAAATATTACCAACATTATTTCTAATAAATTCCTATCAAAGAGGCTTCATATATAAATATTTAGCAGTTCATATATAGAAGCTTCATTATCAGTGAGCTAATAATCAACCTCCTGACTAATATATGCTAAACTAATATATGCTAAACTATTTATGCGGGACTCTGCTTGGCTCGCACTGTCATCTAACTGCCACGTTGCTTTGAGGGAAACTTAATTATTGCCTAGACCCGATCATGATAATTAACTGATGAAATTCAGGCGGATAATTAATTCCAAAACGAAGTAAAGTTAGTACTCGCAAGTAATCTCGAGAAGGTGTATCATCGAAAAAGTGCACGCGCATGTGTGTTATAGACTTCGGCGTGTGTGTGCGTGACACATGCTATCCTGTCTTTGCCATTGCCCGCCTGCAGTGGTGAGGTTAGTTTTTAGATATCATCTCTCCTTCCTTCTCCCTGCCACTAGAATCTGAAACTGAATATAACATTTTATCATCCACAGCATAAACCTGATAAGCCCTGTCCCTGCCTCTGTGCCAGTCTCCTCACTGCCATCATTACTCACTGTGGCTCTGACATCGAGTTAGCACACAGCTCAGGGCATGCTGCACCGTTCATGATGTGCCCTCATTCCTCCCACCTATTATATCAGTGGCGTGAGGGGGGATGCAAAGCTCCCGGTGAACAAGTGCTGAATTTAGAATAAGGCTCGTCAGTGTAGCTGCTGACGATTAACTGTCATTACTTGAGAAATTGCTGCATATACTGGAAAACTGACAGGGATGGTGTGCATTCAAACAGCAGCCTTGATGTTTGCACACACACTTACACATACACATCACGTGAATATTCTGTGAGCTTTGTTGCAACCTGTGATATAAACACGCTCTTTACCTGCAGTCACATACGTCCACTGAAGACAGACAGCAGCAGCTTGTCTTTTGTCTTGCGACATCAAGCAAAGCAAAGATCTTTTGAAAATCTTTATGCCAGGAGCTGTTTAATTGGAGTAAGTCGACTGTGTCCACATCCTTAAAATTTCAAATCCGTTTCATTTTCTTCACCTTGTTAGACTGCACAGCGGTTTGACCTGGTTAATTGGTGCTGACACAAATAACCACACAGTTGCACAACGCAGTGCTGGTAAACTAGGCGAAGGACAGCAGGACCTTGGGTAAGCTACAGAGAAGATGTACTTCATGACAGTAGACTAATCATGAGCTCTGGTAAGGTCTCTGTTTAAAGCTAAAAAAAAGCTCATGCTACTTTGTGCAAAAGCGAAAAGGTGGGAACTAAAACAGCCAGCAGTTTCAAGGATACATACATGCTAAATCAGGGGACTTTGTTTGCTTTACTTTTCTTTATAAGAGTTAAAAGTTAGACCCGGCAGCTGGTCACCTTGCTTAACTACTAATGTCAGTTAAATAGTACTACAGTCGAGCTTGTTAACACTAGCTAGCATTATTCTTCATAAGCTACTGGTCATTTTCATAGACTATGTAAAAGAAGTGGATGCAGGATCTGTGTCTAAAAAGTAAAGGCAGTGCAGATGTGTCCTACATTTGCATTCTTTGTAATGGCCAGCAGGAGGCAGTTCTACTGGCTCCTAAACAGTCTGAGGTTTTAGAAGTCTATGGGAAAGCTATGTTACTTTTCCCTTTGTTTATAATCTCCGTTAGCATTTTCCTAAGTAGTGTATAATCTCAATCACTAGTTTCAAGTCTTCTTTAAAACATCAGTGTTCATTTTCGTAAATTATAGTCCCATGTAGGAGAAAATAGAGCATAAAGCAAGTCGCTAGGATGCAGTGCCCTTGGATTCTCAGCTACATCCACTCCTTCTCTTTTGACATCTGGTTTAAAAAAAAAAAAAAAAAACACATCAGAAGCCAAATGCTCAACTCAAGACTTCAAAAACCAATATCACAACAGTTACATCTACTTTTATAGATTCCATAGTCACATCAGTGTAGCTGTACTAAAACCCCCATTTTTATGCTTCATTTCTTTAAATAAAAAGATAAAGATTGTTAGAAAGAAACTGTATGATAAGATAAACTATGCAAGCAATGAGAAGATCATTGGCGTTATAAAGAGATTCGTTCAGAAATCAGACAGTGAGATATCACACACTCTCTTCAGTTTGCTTCAGTTCTCTATCTCTTTCCCCCATACAGACATAAACACTCTCACAGATATTTCTATGAATTAATCCATGGTTTTATTAAAAATTGTAGTTAAGGCTCCTTACCTGTCTGTGTATTTTACAGCTATTCATGCAAATTGACGCCCTTTATCCCAAGAGGTTCGGAACCTGGACTGACTATGCCAAAAAATACTGCAATGCCCATTACAGGTGACATTTTTCTAAATTTCTGCATATTTTATTGTTGTTCCTATTAACATGAACCGCAATGCTAGTTTACATTTTATATAACTGTATTTGTGTGTTATGTCAGCATTTTTGTTATTCAAATGCACTTTGTTTATATCGTCCAGAGTATTACCCAAGAACATGATATTAATAGTACCTAGAGCTAGGAGAGTGTTAGCTTAGCCAAGCATAAAGACAGGAAGCTAGAGTAAATAGATAGCTCCTAGCTTTCTCTTCACAGCATACACTCCACAACAATTTTAATATTGAAATTGGGAAGCATTATTGTCGTATTGATTTGCCTGTTTTAACCTAGTATTACATGGTATCACGCACATTTCTATGCCTCGACAGCTAGGGATAGAAGCGTTAGCGACGCTGAAAGCTATATTTATGTTCAATTTAAGTAGAACTGCCACATCTTCCATACCACACAGTGAAAATGAGACACACAGGTGTTGGGTTAGCATATCTCTAACCTTTTGTAGAATTGAGGTTGTGTGGTGTATCTGAAAACATATGTACAACAGAAAAATTAAAACTTATTCAGGTACAGGGTTTTGGGTCTTGATCTCTCTGCAGCTCCTTAAAAGGATATTTCAAATTTGACGTTTACTCAGACAGGATGAGCTGATCAGGTTTTGGAGATGGGTGGTCATAAAAGTCTCTGTGACCTTTTTAACCATTTTTGTGACCTGCCAGGAAATTTCACACGCATAGCATAGTGAAGTAGTGCTATTTAAACCACGTGCACAGTGAATTTGTGATATTCAGGGCTACCATTTCTTTGGCCATTATTCAACACTATTATTCAGGAACAGAAGGGACGATTGTGAGCACGTTTTATGTTGGGTCAGAAACCAGAAACTGAATTTGTGGCACTAATCTTTAAAAAATCTTTAATTAAATTCCTTAAATCAAAGTCTTTGCTTTATTTAGTTTGGACAGGTGTAGAAATGAAGTGCAACCTGATTGATGGTGGAGGCATACAACTCATTTACGGTGGTAACTGTACATTGATGAAAATTGATTGACACAAATCAGATGTTATTGAATCCGCACCTTTTGAACCTATCTTACTGTGCCTGCATTTAAGTCCACTATCACCAGATTGAAGTGTACTCATTCACTGTTTATCTGCAGTTCTGTGGAATTAGCACAGTTTCAGTCCTTCTCACCTACCATTTAATTGTGTCTGCTGGGATAAGCCGGCCTATACCTGAGCCTGGATTGGTGGTGCTGCTGAGTTGATGGTTTGTTGTCAAAGCCAGACTGCAACTGAAGCCAAGCGCTAAATGCCAACTGGCTGCCAGTTTACAGTGATGATTGGTTACATGTGTGAACAAACACATCAAATGCATTGTTTTGGATGTCCATCAAAGTCAGCAGCTCGGTCAGGGAATGGCTTGGCGCCATTAAATATAATGCTTTGTGTCTAAGAGCGCTTGGTGTGGCTGGGGAATGCCTTTCTAAGTCACACGTATGCACTCTCTCACGCACACTCAGAGGAGTGCAAGGCGGTGCCATCTGAGTGCAATCTTCCCTTCTTGTTTCTTACATAAAGTTGAGGTTGCTGTGGGAAACGGCAGCAGCAGAGGTGAAAGGAAAAACAGCACTGCAGCTGGAGAGATGCTGGTTCAAATCTGCACACAAGGGGGAAACATTATTTTAGAAAGAATGAGTTAGTTTCCCATCCTACACCAATTACAGCTTTAAACAGAGAAGTGTGAAACAGCCAATTTTGGCAGTGCCTTGTTAAGTTTGTCCACACTTCCAGCCAATATGGCAGATAACCAGCCTTTGTGTGGGGGCCAGTTCTATTCTAAAAGTCCATTTGGCTGATGAATTGTGAAAGTTGCCCGTGAGTTTTGGAATAAACCTGCTGCTGTGGCCATTAGGCAAAATAGTTTCCTGCTTTGCAAAGTGCCCTTAAGCAAAAAGGCAAAAAAGAAGATTCCCCAACTGCTCCAACAGAGCTGCTTAACAGTAAACGATGGAAGGCTGTTCTAGTGCTGGGCAGCTCCCAGGTGGGAATGTTTAAATGTTTAACTATTCCTTCAAGGCACTGCTGCAAGTAAATAAGTGTGGTTTCTTGGGAAGTGCATCTCAGTTAGAGGTGTGTGTATAAAAAAGTTAGCAGGCACAACTTCATCACTTATTTATTCTCTCACAGGTATTTTGGGCCTCGCAGGCAGTGGGACTGTCGCGGGGCGTCCAACTTGGAGGAGCTGCACCAGCGGCTGAGTCAGATCATGATCCGTCGTCTCAAAGCTGATGTGCTCAGTCAGCTGCCCCCCAAAATCCGCCAACGTATCCCCTTTGACCTGCCCAAGGAAGCTGCAAAGGTAGACGTGGGTGACGCACGTCACATGTGAAGACAAGTAATATGTATTTGTGTAGTTTCTGTAGTATATTTGGACTACAGATGAATCATGAACTGGTTGTTTGGTCAGCTGATAATAATCTGTGCATTCTATTTTGTAAGATAAAGAAAAAAGAGTGCCTGTTAAGTTGGACAGTTTCCAGATTTTTTTAAAAGTGGAGTTATTATTTATTTTAAATGTTCTGATTTAATTGATCTATTGTGACAACTTCTCAAAATTCTCAACACCTCTGAGTCATTGGAACGCTCAGTGCAAGTCTTGACATCTCCCGTCTGACTCGTGGACCTCGTTGCTTTTGAAGGACGTTTTTTTTAGAATATAAATTTATGTCAAACATTATGTCTTTGTTTCTGTAACCACGCAGCAACACGTCGCTGGCAGCTCCATTCACGTTATCTAATTCTTTCAGCTACTGACAAAGCTAAATCAGTCCTGTTTTCAGAGCTCTGCGGTGTCAAGGTCTGCTTGTATCCTTTTGTATAAAACTCGCCCACAATCGGCAGAGCAGAAGCGAGTTTGGCGAATCCAACTCGAAGAGGGTCATGTGAGAAAACCTCTGAAAAAAGTGTGAGAGATTTCTGCTGAATAAAAACAAATATTTTCACATGTGTTTATTATAGCAAACGGAATATTTGCAAGTTTATGGTTTTACAAAACCAGCATGTAGATGAGGTCACTTTGTGCAATTTCCTGATATTTTATAGACAAACAATGAACCGATTAACTAATAATTAAGCACAGTTCCTCAGTTAATCAGTCTCCTTTGGCCTCACTGTGAGGAGCTGTGCTGCTGCACTTGGTTCAGTCACCTGGTTATTTCTTTCTCAGAGAAAAATGCCTGTTACTCCTTTAAGATTAAATAACTCTCTGTTAGTCTAAGCTTAGCAATGAGGTCTCTGTGTGCTTGCTATTTTTCCTCCATCATATAGAAGATACCAGGGTATTTGTAGAGTAAAGGTCATGTTTTGTGTGTAGGTGTTTGGATCTCTTTTAGCTTCCCCAAAGTTGTAGTTGCGGTTTCTGCCTCCCACGTTGCACTGGATCCATGTGAATGTACACGTGAATGCCAATATGGCTTTGGCCCGGCTTGTGCGCAAATTAGTGTGTCTCCTCTGCTCTATGCATAGGTCACTGAGGTCAAGGATTACCAGTAGTTAGTTTCCAACTGGAAGCACCCACAGCAGCACACACTCAGAAACATCCACTGAGAGGCTTTTGTTACATTTTCTATCATTCAGTTTGTTTTCAGAAAAGCTGGAAGGCTGTATAAAATGAAAGCATAATCACCTGATTTGAAATCCATCTAAAATCTGTATTTATTTGGAAATAACACAAAAACAACATATCAGATGTTGAAGCTTCTTCGTCTTCTTCTCTTGCCTTCTCCCTTTAGGGCTTGCCAAAGCAGATCGTCTGCCTCCATATCATCCTATCCCTGCTATTGTCCTCTGTTAACCAAACCCTCTGCATACGCCCCTTCACTGCATCCACTCTGAGGTCTTCCTCCTGCCTGGTCCAAAATGCTCATACTGAGCTGTCCCTCTGATGCACTCCAAAACCTAACATCTTCAACTCTGCCACTTCCAGCTCAGCCATTGCATTACATCACTACCAACTTCACACTTCCATTTTAGATACTCAACAAAACCTAAACCCGAGTAAATGACATCATCGTGATGTTTATCAACTTCCTCTGTTAGGCCAGGCTTTCTGCTTCAGCGTGCGTGTATGTCGGTTATTCATGCAGTGAGCACCACCTACTCCCGTCAGAGTCAGAAACTTTATATTAAGATGCACAAGAGCTGCAGAACGTTTTTGTTTTGTCAATTAATGTTCATTGTGGGCGACCGTGGCTCAGGGAAGCGTATCTGTAACCGGAAGGTCGCCGGTTCGATCACTGGGCTCTCTGTCCTGGTCGTTGTGTCCTTGGGCAAGACACTTTACCCTACTGGTGTTGGCCAGAGGGGCCGATGGCGCGATATGGCAGCCTCGCTTCTGTCAGTCTGCCCCAGGGCAGCTGTGGCTACAACTGTAGCTTGCCTCCACCAGTGTATGAATGTGAGAGTGAATGAATAATGGAATTGTAAAGCGCTTTGAGGGCCTCGAAAAGCGCTGTATAAATCCAATCCATTATTATTATTATTATTATCGTGCATCATCAGTAAAATAAATATGTTACATTATTGCTCGATGTGCTCTCTGTGCTGCTGTTTATTTCTAACATCACATCAGCACATTAGAAACTTTCTAAAGCGAGACACATTTCAACATTAAATATTACTCAGTGTTTCAAGTGTCACTCTGCCCCATAACCTAACGAACGAGACTTGTTGCCAGATCAAAGTGAGATGAAGTGTTTGATTGGAAATTTTTGGCAATAAATAGCCTCAAGATCATAACGATCCGTTTTCTAATCTGACCTCTATTAGCTGCAGTTTGAGCAGCGTAGAGGAGACTTAGCAGGATGAGGATCAAACATTAAAAACATTTCTGCATGACCAACTGGATCCATACAAATTCCAGTGAAAATGTGACACACAGTTTACACTGCTTCAACTTTACGGCTGGGATTCATTTGGTTTTATCAGTACGATATGGCTCATTAGGTTCCTTGTATAAAATGTATTCCTGCAGCAGATAATATATATAGCACTTAGAGCTTACTGTAAATAAAAAAAAAAGTCTGTGAAAGTGTGTTGTTTCCAGATGATTTAAGTCAAAGCTCTGAACATAACCTGCTACAGGCAGTTCTGTGTTCAGAATAAGTTTTGAGAAATTACTGAGAACTTGATTTGCAGCTTAACATAGCGTGCTAACCCATCAATCGTGTTCTATAGTACAGTATACGCCTTTGGTTAAAGAAGAGAGAAGCCATGTGATCCTCCTTGATGATGTCAGATACACTTTCATATGACCATCACTATTAAACACTAAATGATATATACTGAGCAGGGATAAGATTATGACCACTGACAGGTGAAATGAATAACTGATAATCTCTTCATCATGGCACCTGTTCGTGGGTGGGACATATTAGGGAGTGTTAGAAGCAGGAAAGATGGGCAACCGTAAGGATTTGGGCCAGTTTGACATGGAGCCAGACTGTGATGGGTAGATGGCTAGTTCTCAAAAACTGCAGCTTTTGTGGGGTGTTGCCAGTCTGCAGTGGTCAGTATCTATCAAAAGTGAAGGAACGGTGATGAACCAGTGGCAGCGTCATGGGGCCTAGGCTCATTGATGCATGTGGGGTGAGGACCAAAGGCAGAATGCACGATGGGAATAAGCTACCCAAAGAAACCTTGGGTCCTGCCATTCACATGGATGTTACTTTGACACGTAGCACCCACCTAAGTCTTGTTTCAGACCACGTACACCCTTTCGTGGAAACAGTGCTCCTTGGTGGCTGAGGCCTCTTTCAGCAGGATAATGGGCCCTGTCACAGAGCAAAAGTGGTTCATGAATGGTTATAGGAACCCAACAACGAGTTTGAGGGGTGTACTTCACCTCCAAATTCTCTGATCTCAATCCAATCAAGAATCTGTGGGATTTGCTGGACAAACAAGTCCGATCCTTGAAGGTCCGACCTTGCAACTTACCGGACTTAAACGATCTGTTTGCTAACATTTTGGTGCAGATTCCACAGCTCCCCTTCAGGGGTCTATTGAAGTCCAAGCATCGATGGGGCCAGGCCAACACACTATTAAATGCTTCATAATGTAATGCCTGGTTGTGTGTGTGTGTGTATGTGTGTGTGTATATATATATATATATATATATATATATATATATATATACACACACACACACACACAATTGGCTAATATATATTGGCTATTCAGACCTGTACCACCTTCAAGGTGGAAACATTTGACACATCTTGAGATGAAAAACAGCTGAAACCGTGTATTAAACACTAACAAGAAAACATATTTTCTTCTTCAAAAAGAAATCTAATTTTTTTAACATTTGATATAAAATATCTGCATTATTTTTATTTATATATAAGCTTCAAATGTTTTGGAAGTCATTGCATTCTGTTTTTATGGGTACATATTGCAGATACAGCATCCCAACTTTTTTGGAAACAGTCTCGTATTAGCAGGAGTGGAAAATGCTGCAGGAGCTTTTTCTGTGCTAATTACTCACTGAGCCATCGCAGGAATGACACAACAATGAGTTTCTTAAAAAGTGATGATCTAGGATTTTTACCCCTATTCTCCCTAAATGTTAGGGGACAGTAATTGGGGACTAAATATGGTTGGTGGGTGTTTTTTGTTATTTTACATAGAGCCACCAATTAAGCCACATGTTGTAAAGATTCGTGTCATGTGTTGGAGTTGCTCTCTCTCATCTGCATTGGGCTGAAACAAGATGCATAATATCCTCAGAGAAAACGACCTCGGAGATCATTTTTCTTTGGTGGGAAAACAAAAGAGCACGGGTTGTTCTGCTTTGCAGTTTTTGCCTTTATTTTTGTTCGTGAGACAAATCTGCAAGTTTTTTTTGGGGTTTTTTTAACACATTTCTGCTAAGAAGAATAGACAGGCGTTTCATCCTCACAGCTAAATGGACTGGTTTCAGAGATGAGAAAAGGAAGTGTGAAACGGCCAGTCACCCGAATCCACATCCATTTTGCCTCCCACAGGCAGGAAAATGTGAACAATATAAAACATAAAAGACCGAATGGACGTTATTTTCCCTCTAAACAAACTGTCTTTTTGAAGCCTCATTTTGCTAACTGACAATATATACTGTACTGTATCTGTATACCAGGAGCACTCACCAGTTCATTCCTCCTATCTCATTTTACTCCCTAATGATGGCTTTTATCTTCCACAGCCAGACACTTTTTATGCCCCACCTGCCCTTTACATTTTCAGCCTTGGCCTTTAGTCAGTGTTAGTCTGGTGAATATCATCGAGGGTGGAGTGCTTAGCCACTCAGGGTTTTTTTTTTTTCCTCTAGCACATTATAAAGAAATGCCTGAATGTACAGTTTTAATTAGGAAAAAAGCACGGCTCCAACTGTGTTTATGCAGGTGCTTCTGAGTGAAACATCTGAGGGCGAAAAACATGAAGGAAGCGCAGCTTTGTGCTCCAGCAATACGATACTATTTATTCATTCAGCCGTCCTTGACTTTGACGAGGTTTCGAAGCCACTGAAATGCAAATTTTTTCACTAAATGGTGCAAAGCTTTCATGTAAGGAGTCCAGAAAACACAGTGTGGGAAATGCAGTCGTGAAACTTGCTTCCTGACGAAGCCTGTGCGTGCATTAATAGGGTTTCTCTCCAGTTCTCACACCTCTTCCTCCCCCCCCTTCCCCTCTTTGACCCACCTCACCATTATGTGTATGTATGTGCTTAATCAGGCGCAGCCCACCTCCACCTTCCATCGCTCTGCCATATGGTTCACAGTTTTACATCATTTGATATGCAGCGCTTTAAGAAAGTGTTTGTTGCTGCTGAATTTTTTTACACATTCACTGCTGTCAGACATTGCAGCTTGAATTAAGACAGCGAGGTGATGAACAAGAGGCCCAAAATAAGCTCCAATCACAAAGCAATTCAAAGTTAGCAGTTTGGAGGTTGAAAAAGCCAAGGAACTTGACAACTATTTCCAAGCCGAATTTATTGCAGAAGGATTGACTCAAACTTTCCCCGTGCTACTTTTCATGCCCGATTTCTATATAATTACCTTGTCTTGTACTAGAAAGTCTTAAAAAAGAAAAACATGCTGTTCCTGAGTGGTGTTTTTATGATAAACAAGGCTAACCTACATGTCGGCAACAAATGCAGAGTTTCTCTGTGTGTCTTGTTTATGAGTGGGGAGGCAGCATATGCTGCTCTTCGCTGGCAGCCTTTCCCACTGCGATCCTCTCCCACTCTCCTCTCCCGCCTTAAATACTTCTCGCCAATCACCTTGAGAGTACGCGAGGCGTCTTTGATTTATTGTACCGGCCGGGCTGCTTCTCCATCTTCGACCCCGACTTGTCACAAGGCAGCTATAATTGGGAGATGCTCGTGACCCACCTAACACAGCAGCCCAGTCGGAGGGGGTGGCATCCTTGGGAATTCTCCATCTCTCTCGCTCTCTATCGCTGGCATTTTTTTCTTTTCTCCCTCTTTCTTTCTTTTTCTTCCAGGAAAAGTAGGACACCCAGCAGCACTATTAATTGTTTTGCCCTTTATATCTCAAAAACAGTAGAGAGAACAAGAGCGAGAAAAGGGTGGGTGAAGAAGTAAAGGACGCAGCCTCAATGTCTTTGCCCTCTTCTTGCTTTGCAGGAGGCCTCGGCTAGCTTCGCCGAGTGGGAGAGGCTGATGAAGAGCCTGGGGTCGGGGGCTGCTACGACGGACACCCCCTTCACTGAAGTCATGGGCCTGGTCACGCAGATGTACAAGCAAACAGCCATCGCCAAGGTAAAGGAAGACCAGCTGCTGTTATATCTTACATACAGGAATACCTTTGAAAGATGAAGCAGGGGATTTTTCTATTGTGTGGGGTATTCAAAGCCCCATAGGGCCGCATTGTTGTCCAAATGATCAATGAGCAACACTGTTGCTCTGGTGGCATGTTACTTCATTACCATGAACACACATACTGTAGTTTATCAATCCCACACACACCATCCATTCTCACAAATGCACCACAGTCCGAAAATAGTCCCCATCAGAGACGCTATAACCTGTTGTTTGACTAATGGATTTTAAATATTACCTCTCCAGCTGTTTTTTTTTTAATTAGTTAGCATTTTTTATCCATAAAACTGTTGCACCAATCGTGGCCTTGCATACACACAGAATAAGTTATGAGTGAGATCATCCAACTGGATGACGGATATCCAGCAGTTCTTCTGCATATGTGTTGTTCTGTGGTGTTACTATGAAGAAAAGAGCTTTCTGAATATTAGCATTATAGGTATTGGCTCAGAGCAGGCCGAAAACTAATTTTCCCGCAGTGTAATATTATTCAAGCTTTTTTCAAAAGTCCTAAAAAGTTAATTTTAATTAAAAAATAAAGTTTTTGAAAAGTATTTCATTTTTTTAGGTGTTTTAAGACTAGTAGTTAAAATCAAAGCCAATGAGATTTCATTATGCAAATCATTTTTTAAAACTTTTGCTGTTTTTAATGTTATTTGTTTGAAGTCCTTCTACACATTTATTTACAGACTAGGGATCACAAGCCTAACAGAGCAGGGGTAGACAACTGCAGGCCTCGAGTGGCAGTGTCCTGCAGGTTTTAGATGTCACCCTGGGACAACACACCTGAATCAGATGATTAGTTCATTACCAGGCCTCTGGAGAACTTCAAGACACGTTGAGGAGGTCATTTAGCCACTGAAATCAGCTGTGTTGGATCAAGGACACATCTAAAGGCTGCAGGACCTTAAGGCCTGGAGTTCCCCACCCCTGATCTAGGACATTGGTTTGTCGTCACTACCAGTAAGAAGAGTAATGCAGGCTGTACCAAGAAAACAGTGAATGTCAGATATTATATCAGCTTGTTTACGATTTATGACTGAGCCTACACCATAAGCCAATCCAACAGTTTTAGAGTCTATATTTTTTGTTGAACCAAAAGTCAATAATTAAAAGAAGAGCATCAAATACGATATTGTAATGATTATTGCACTGCTATGTGCCGACTTTTCAGGCTAGCAGATGTCAATAACTTTGTTTCTAATCTGTTTCTTATCTGGCATGATGTGTTAGCTTACTTTGCTTCTATTTAAGTTTTTTGTCCTCACCTTATCCATTAAACCATCACAGCACATGGCTGCCCCACCCTGAGCCTGGTTCTCCTGGAGGTTTCTTCCTGTTAAAAGTCTGTGAAGGTTCTCAGTCATCCAGGTCATCGTAGTCAAAGGAGATTGCAAAGAAAAGTGTCTGGACTTCTTTAAGTTGCTTGAAGACGTTTCGCCTCTCTTCCGAGAAGCTTCTTCAGTTCTAAGGTCAAAGGTGAAACTGCTGGGAAGACAACGTTGGAGAAACGTGAACATTTTATTTGTACTGCATAACCTGCAGGTTCTGACAGAAATCTGCAACTATCCTTTGAAGCACCGCTCCTCTAAAACAGCAATAAGGATCATTATTAGGTTATCTACATTATTATGTAAATAACAAAATAACTTAAAGCAAAAATTGGGGAAACGTGAAGTCCGAAGTCTTTATATTAAGGCCATCAGTCAAACAATATAGTTTGTTCTGGGTCTAAACAGAGCGCGTTGTGTATGACGTCTTCTTTTGCGCAAGTCTACACGCGCTCTAGTGTGAAGCTTTGAGCGTTCACACTAGAGCGCGTTTGCCGTCGCATTTTATTAGTAGTGTGAACGAGCAGACAAAAAAATCGGATTTGATCAAAAAATCGGAATTGAGCATTAAGACCTGCAGTGTGAACGTAGCCCAAGGCATGTTGAGGAGGTCATTTAGCCATTTAAATAAGCTATGTTGGATCAAGGACACATCTAAAACCTGCAGGACACCGGCTCTTGGGGCCTGGGTTTGGACACCCCTGTGATAGGGGTTCATGTTATTGCTTCTTCTGTATTATTGTAGGGTTTTTACTGACTGTTGTTTGGTGCAGGATGAATTGAAATTGTTGATACAACAGATCTGCTACACTCAGGCCTGAGTGTAGCTTGTGAAATCAAAGTCTGTAGTTAATTCATGATTTAACAAAGGGAGGATTGCTTTTTTTCCACCTAATAAATGCATTTATTCTGGCCATCTTTGTCTAATATTACAATTTGTTTCATAATCTAAAACATTCACGTATGAAAAATGTGGAAAAACCTAAGAAAGCAGGAAGGGGGGAAATACTTAATGCACTCAGTCTTCTGTTGGTGCAAGTCTACTTCCAGCGTTTACTGTTGTGACCACTAGCCCTGCTGTAGTGGCTACAGGCTGTACAAATGTAAACTTTTCAGCACCCCTGAAAACACAACCTTGGTTTCAATATGACCACTAAGCATTCATACATTTATTTAACACTGTGGTTCGAGTTTCAGAACATAGAAGGGAAGCACACTGAATGTGATTTGAGAAAAACAGGAAAATCTGTTTTAATCAGTATCAAGAAAATGTGGTTAAATCGATCATTCTTGTTCTTCTCTGAAAGAGCTGAAAGAGCTGACAGTTTAGGAAAAGTTTAAAGACCGCTTTGACATTTAGGAAAGAGAACATTAATACTACTAACATGTCTGTCTATTCTGTATGATGCTAGACCTGGAAATAGCATCTATTGGGAGTTCATCACTGAGGTTTCATTTTTCATTTGAACAGTAATGAACAGAGATTAACAGAAAACACTAAAATAATTTAAAGTATTTGAAATTACTATCATTTTAAATATTTTACATTGTTACTGATTTCTACTGCTAGAAAAACTAGCCTCAGCTGATGCTGAATTCTTTGAATAATCACGATACCAGTTTATAGGAAGTAGAACAAGACACTTTATTCCTATTGGCTGTCCCAAGCCCAGGTACATGGGAAGGTTTGTGTCAGAAATAATCTTGAAGGAAGAGTATGTGAAGAACAGGATTATGAGTTTGAAGTTGTTACATTACACGTGCCCCACAGGTTGGATGTCAGAAGAGAAATTGGAATTGTGGAGTAGGTCGGATGAAGTGGTAGAGAGTGGTCGCAGGTGGAGAGAGTGGTGATCGTAGTGGGCTTCAGTGGACATGGAGGTGAAGGGAACAGAGTTGAGATGTTTGGTAGATTTGGTGTTAAGGAGAGAAATGCAGAAAGCCAGATGTCGTGGATTTTGTGAGAGGGTCGAAGGTAATGTATAAGAGTGGAGGAAGGTGCACACAGGTGGACTACATCTTATGCAGAAGGTGCGGATTTAAAGAGATAGGAGACTGCAAGGTTGTGGCAGGTGGGAATATAGATGGGCATCATTAGATAATAGTCTGTAAGAAAGTATTCATAACCGCAAATCCCTATTTATATCTATCTATACTCTACTTCATAACCAGGTGGGATTTCATCTGTGATTTGGCTCTGAGCCCCTTCTTGTTTGCAGTGGTGGTGGACAGGGTGACAGTCGCTGTTTCTTGTCCTGCCTCCCTCCTCTCACCCCCAACAGGTTGTGGCAGGTGGCTGGCCCTCCCTGAGCCTGGTTCTACCAGAGATACTTCCTGTTTAGAAGGGAGTTTTTCCTTCCACTTTTGCCAACTACTTGCTCATCTGATTGTTGGGGTTTTCTCTGTATTATTGCTGGGTCTTTATCTTATAATATAAAGCGCCTTGAGGTGACTTGATGCTATATAAATGATTCATTTAATTAAATTAAACTGAATGAGATTGAATTGAAATCAATAACTGTTTCGATTATTTTCCCTAGTGTAGAGTTGTCTACCTTCCCCTTATCTTTAAGGTGACTTTCCTCTGCCACACCTCATAAAAATAAGTTACTGTATGTGCAGCTGGTGGGTGGGGCTTCTGTCCTGACAATGGCCATGGTGGTGTATCTGTTCTCATTGACATCATACAGATAGATGTAAGAGTAGGAAAAAACTGCAAAACGGTATTTCTTGAACACAAGCTTGCTTCATAATTTGATACTTAGTATTTACCATTGTAACAATATGTGGCTATAACTGAAAATAGGAAAATACATTGTTGTTCACATTAACCTTCAAATATCTCACAAGCAACAAACCCAGAGCCATACATTATATCACCCAAATAGCTTAAAAATTAGCTCGATGATGTTGTTTTTTTATTAATTTTCCTATTTCAGGAAATGGTGAATTGATGGCACAGCATCATTCTCAGAGCGCTTGGCCAACCACTCAGTGAGATCTCATGGGAAAATCATTGCCATGGTAACAGAACCTAATGGTTGCCAGTGAAAGCACTTAGACAAAGTAGGGAGTTATAACTGAGGTATTATTTTGTTGCGTCCAGCCTGGCATGATTACCCCTTATATCAAAGTTACACACCGCACTAAAATAGCATCTCTGTGATGTTGTTGCTATGGAAACTCGGTCGGCTCTCTGAAGTGACTTCTTTTTTTCTTTTTAATGAGAGCAATATGGGAAGGTGGCATTTAGTCTAAGGAAGGCCGGCGGGGGAGGGGGGTCAGAGCAACTAGTGTTGAGAATCTAACATTTCCTGTTCGTCAGTGGAAGCATTTTTACACTAATATAGCTTTCAACCTCTGTTCCGCTTCTAGCCTCTTACCAAGAGAACAGGCAGTTCCCTAGTCTCTTATATTTGTAGCTGAGCAAACAGTTCCACCAGATATAGTATCCCTCTCCAATCATCTGCCATGTTCGAGGGCTGGCATTCCTCTCAATTAGCCCAGCGCCCTCAGCCATGAGGAGTGTGGCCCCGAGGTTAACGAAGAGCGGAGATAACCACTGAACGCAATCATCGACACGCTACCCGCTCAGCCTGCCTCCAAGCTTGGATCTCTTTTGCGCTTGGTGTTGTTTGCTGATTGGATTTCTGCTCAGTTTAGCCTAACACTGGACCTCCTTTCATTACAAAGCCCCCACCCACACCGACCTGCTCTCCCACCTCAAAGCCGATACTGCCGGCCTAGTCTCATTTCCTCTGCTACTGGTTCACACTTTCTCTACTTCCGAGAAAGAGAGGGAAAAAAAAGAGAAAGCTTGCTTTATTCTTTTTTTGGATCATCGAGAGGGGTGGAACGGTATGATAGATTCACACATCTATGTCACTCTGACAAGCATCACGGCCCCTGCCTGCCAGTCCGCCTGGCGACGAAGCTGCCAAACGCCTTTGGGGTATTTTTGTTGCTTTACCCGCCAAGCATCTGCTCCCAATTACCCAGAGAGGACAGCTCTGATGCTGGACTTTAAAGCAAGCTAACGGGCCGCTTCAGACAGCCGAGAAGTTTGTGCACTAATTAAACTCAGCGGAAGGAAGACGGCGAAGCCGAGCCGTCAGTAATGAGGACCCCCCCAGATCAGAACAGGGTCGGGCAGGCCTGGCGGAGAGATTCATTATCAGGCGCATCGGCTAATTATCAGCAAGGCGAAGCAGAGGTTCTCCCACCAGAGCATCAGGTGTGTGATGGCTGCAGAGGTTGTCAGCTTGCAGGAGGTGTGGAGATTATAGGGTGAACTTCACACCACAGAGAAAGGGCCTGTCTCCAAAAACTGTCTAGTAAGGGCTCTGTTTGACTCAACTCAAACCTCAGAATTTCTCACTAGTTGGTGCTATTCTTGGCTGCTTTATGGCCCGGGGCTCTGAAATGAGCCGAGTGCGGATGCTCAATGACACGCTCGTACAGCTCTTGCAGAAGGTAGCGGGGAGCAGGCCACAGCCATCACAGTGTGATCGCTGGGCACCAGCGCACGGTGAAATGATAGATACAGATACCTGCAGGTTACAGTTACCTCACTGTGCCGCTTCCTTTTTAGGTTGTTAGACTCACACCGTCAATCAAGGTCAGAGGCTTTAGCAGAAAACAAACAAAAGTGCATTAAACTTGGACTGTGATGTTTTTAGGGGGGGTTAAGCATTGTTACCATTTGACTTCATAAATCAGAAGCCCGACATGAAGGAGGGAAAAAAAAATGTGGTTATGCAAAAAGTAAAATGAGCAAAAACTTTTATATCCTGCATTAATTCCAGGCTTCAGCTGTCACTTTTGACAGGTAATAATTCTTAGGAGTGTTTGCAAGTCCTGAATGTGTTCACATATAAAATCTCCTAAAATATCAGCCCAGTCAAATACCTGATGATAGTTACATTATTAGGAAATAATAATGCAATAATAATAATAAAGTGCTATGGCCTCAATAAAGCTGACGATAAAAGTTCAAACTGTCAGTTTGTAAACCCGTTAGTAGGGCTGCCACAAACGATTATTTTGATAGTCGACTAGTCACCGATTATTTTTGCGATTAGTCGACTAATCAGATGATGCACCCATTGGACATAAAACGTATTGCACCAGCATGCGTCTGCTCTTATATAACTATCATTAGCTTACAGCTTTAAGTGTTTAAGGTGCTAACTAAAATAAAGACAAGATGATAGTTTGTTAAATTTTAATGACATTTGAAGATTGTTTCGGTGAAGTTTAATAAACTCCTTGCTATCTAAAATATAACGGGACACCAGAGTATATTCTCGAGCATCTCACACTTCTGATAATCAGTTGTCTGCTTGACGTTTATTAGCTGTGTAAAAAGTATAACTTTAATCTCAACCAAACCGATTTACTAAGGAACAAATAAAACACTGAAAAAAGCCAAACAATAACATTTTTTAGTTATCTAAGTGACTTATATTACATGTTTAACCTGAGTAACGAAAGACCGCGGGGGGTTTGAAACTGATTTGCTGGGAGTTCAGTGTTCTCATCGGCTCTAGTGACCATTGAACCCCGGCTAGCTATCGAGCTAGTGGGTAACAGACATCTCCAAAAACGTCAGAGTGCTTTTGAAAATATGTGATGTCTTGATAAACTGAGCAGATATTTGAGGTTTACACAGCTACATTCTTGTCTGAAAATATGTTAAAAGTTTATTTTGTGACCCAGAAAGAATAATAAGAGTAATATTAAAACTAACTAGCTGCCGCCATTGTTGGAAACTGGAATTGGCTGGGCCACGCTATGAATTCTGGGATAGGTTGGGCCACGAAGGATACACCCGACCCATCCTTCAAATCTCGGGAAATGAAGGGCGCTTTTGTCGGCCGCATTTGTCGGAGTCTTCTAATTTGGACAGGCTTCGTCGTGTCGCTGTAACGTAATTGGCCTACAAATGTGGGCACAGGAGGATGCGGTTCCTGAATTTGGACACAGCTACGATACCGGACACTGCTTCTTCTTCTTCGGGGTTTAACGGCAGCTGGCATCCTTGTACATGCAGTGCTGCCATCTTCTGTTTCAGTCCATTATTACACTCTTAAATCCTACTACTTATTCCTGCGTCTTTTGGGATCTTGCAAAGCTTCAAACGACGCATCGACTATTAAATCAGTCGTCGACAATTTTGATAGTCGACATAATCGCGACTAGTCGACTAATCATGGCAGCCCTAACTGTTAATATTGCTGCTTCTTCATCTGACTTTGTGTAAATGACACCATTAATATCTGCACATAGTGTATGATATATATACCAGTGATAGGCCAATATCAGCTGGTGAGATCAGTTTTGGCAATATGTGACATAAAAGGTCTTTATTTTATTATTTTTTTGTAAATCCTGTTCATGTATGAAAAGGTGAGTTTTGCTTGTTTGTTATTGTCACCGAAATTAAAAAACAGAAATTCCAAAAACACACCAAGCATAAGCCAAGTTGTGAGTTATTGATTTGACTCTTGGTATCTCCGAGCTGACAAATGCGCCCCAGTCGCTCTGTGTGCACTTTCCTTTTAAAGTCTGGATCCCTGGCATTCAATAGAGAATCGATCACACGGAAAGGATGCCGCGGTGATTAATTGACTTCTTCACTGATCTCGCCGCTTCCTCTGTGTGTGGTCGACTGGTGAAGTGATGGATTCAGTAGCTCTCTTTCATCTGTGTCTATTTTTGTGTGTGTGTGTGTGTGTGTGTGGCCAGGCAGGAGCTGTGAAGGACTACATTAAGATGATGCTGGAGGCAGAGCAGCTGAAGTTCCTGGTGTTCGCCCACCACCTCACCATGCTGCAGGCCTGCACCGAGGCCGTCATCGAGGCCAAGGTAACCTCGGGCACTCTGCGGGCAACTGGAGCTTCTAAAATGTGTTAAAGCGGCAGTAAGCAACGGCTGTGGTGGTGCCTGTAGGATGTGTAGCAACACTGGCGAGAGGTGTGTGAATTATTTGAAATTCTAAAAGCTGCTAGCTCAGGTTCAAGTATAATTAATTTTGTAGTATGCTGCTGCTTCTCCTGGAAATCTCCATACAGAACAGTCTGTTCCATATCTCACACGCTAGCTCCAAACTCAGTGACCCACTCAGGCCTCCACTCAAACTCCCCAGCTGTACTTTAATATTCCCCAGGAAGCAGTATGCACCTCACATACTATTGGGTATATACTCAGCGCAGTCAGGAGTATATTAGCATGTAGTTTCTGACACAGCCTGTGCAGCATGCCCATATTAACATCCTACAATGTAACATATATATATATATTAGGGGTGCAACGATATTCATATCGATATTGAACTGTTCGATACAGTGCTTTCGGTTCGGTACGCATATGTATCAAACAATACAAAACTTTTTATTTATTTTATCAACTTTCCTTCTGATGATGCTGTCTGTGTTGAGCACTCAGTGGATCTGCGCTCGACAGGGCAGCCTAGGCGGAGTAGTCGAACGCAGATTCACTGAGCGCAGGGCAAGCTAGCGAGACAGAAGTTAAGCTCTCCTTGCAACATGGCAAATTGAACCTCCCCCACCCTCATTCAGATCTGGCGTTTGGAATTATTTTGGTTTTCATGTGACGTATGACCCTGAAGGTAAGCGCGTCATGGACTAAAGTAAAACAGTATGTTGGATGTGCCACGCAATGCTCAATTACATGGGTGTGAACTAGTGTGTTAGTGCAGTTAGTTCGTTAACGTGTTGGCCGTCCAGCCCCACGCACGGGGCGATCCGCGGTAGCTCGTTAACGGAGATTTGCCGCGTTGTGGCGTTAACGTCATTTCAACGAGATTAACCTGAAAGCACTAGTGGGAACACAACGAATATGACTGCACATTTACTCCGACAGCATCCTAGTGCAAAGACAAGTGGAAGCAGACAAAAACAACAAGCATGCTACAAACTTTACCCGAGTCATTTAGACAGCCGTTAGCACAGGATTCTCCTTATGGGGACCTGATATGTTTAATGTGCTGCTGAGAATATAGCCCAGAAGAAGCGGATAGTATAGCTTTTAGTTTGGAAAGAGACATTTCTCTGTAATAAACTCTCTTTTCCAAAGATGTGTGATTCCTCAATCAGATACAGGGCTTGCAATATCGCTAGCCCAACGTCCCGAAGCTAGCGATTTTTTCAGTCGGGCTACCAAAATCTCTCTCTGCCCTGCCCGTCGGGCTATTGTAGGAAAAATATATGTCAATGCTTTTGCATTCTTTCAGAAATGTAGCTGGGTAATTATGTCATTGGCATCGGTGAGCCACTGTCAATATGTGACATATTGAAGTCGCGTTTGAATTTGCGCTTGTTTTTTTGCTTTCACTTTGCAATCACGTGAACTGTGTATAGAGAGCGACAGCACTGATCTGTGAGTGATGAAAATTTGTGCACCAATTCCTCTGACATCGTCTTATTATTAATCGTTAGCTTACTATGCAAACATGACAAGTGAAATCTCCCGCAGCTTAAACATGTGAGAGGTTGATCGCGCAGAGAATCGCTGAGCTTATGTGAGTGAGCGTGTAAAAGCATTTCAGTTCTGCTGAGCCAAATAAGACAGGTCAGGATGAAGAAGTGACAGCCAAAGAAAAGCTTACCACAAAACGGAGAAGTTATGACAAATCAGACTATAAGGCAAAAAGAAAGTGCAGCTTTATGGTTTCATGGACAAAAGAATTTCTGTGGCTGCAATATGACGAGCTAAATAACCAGGGCTGCACATAAGTGGTCCGCAGGTGCGCATTCGCTGTCAAAATAAAAAACATGCACAACGGTTAGGGTTAAATTTGTAGCAACAAAAACATAATATTCCAGAAACACGCTTTGCCGATCCGATCAGCTGTTTGTAACACTTCCTACGTCCATCAGCGCGAACTATCACATGTCCGCCATGTCCTGCCCAAAACCAGAAGTGACGTCATTTTGCAGAAATGTAGTTTTTCACCATCAGGGCCTTATGAGCCTATACTGGTGTTTTTAAAAGTTATGTTTGACTTTATGACTTTCTGTGTCGTTTCTTGGATGCTTAGGACTCATATTGCACTGCTGGAAATAGTTTATTTTGATGCATATGCTGCTTTTTTGCAAATTTGCGTTGTAAGATTTATTTTCGTTTTTCCTGCAGTGTATAATAATTGGTGTATTTCAAAAATAAAACTATGAAGACGCTTAAAATAAATTTTCTGTGGTGGGAAACTATTTTGTGCAACTTTTTTGTATTTACAGTTTTGAGGGATAAGCCTCTTAAATTTCTCTAACTAGAAATACATGTTAAAAAAACAAAAACGATTTTACATTTTTTTTGTAGTTTATTGCACCTTTTTGCAATTTATGTAATTACTATGCACTTAATGCATTCATATTATTAGAATTTGGGCTATAATGGTTGTATTGATGTATATCAACTTGAAATGATCCCAAAAATGGCACTACAGCATGTAAAAATATAATATAAGCTCTGGCACACTTGGTTCTATGTCTTAAATCTATGTAGTCTTAAAGGGTTAAGTGTAACGTGAAAGTACTAAATGTGTAGATTGTATTCATATTTCACTTCCACTTCCTGGCTTACCAGAGGTAATTGGCCCCATGCTTAAGTTTTATTCCTTCATCCATAGTCCCGCTGTGTTTAGAAGTCAAATCCTTCTCATGGCTGTGATTATACCTTCGACAGGGTACTAAGCTCTGAGCTGTGCCAGTTGGGCTTTTACTTACAGTAGATGTTAGTCGTGAATTATATGAATCTGCATCTTATCAGGTACGTTTAGCCGCATCGTTTGGATGATTAACAAATTAGTTTATACACTGAGACGCTTCGAGCCATCCACATTCTTGAGGGAAACTCTTCTTTTGCTTTCATAGTAAGTAAACTTTACTTCCACAACTTCTTCTCAAGTCATCACAAGCAAACGATATCTCAACCTGTGAAAGAGTTCAAATGTGTGTTTGCGGATGTGCGCTCGCGCGTGCGTGTGTGTGTCACTGAGGTCGGGGAGGTGTCGGCTGAATGTAATGTAGCGGTGCAACGTGTGATAGCACATTCCTCCTTGAGACGCTCACTCCGTGGTGCATTCGCACTCACTAATTAACAGAAATGAGCTAAAAAAGGAACGACAAGCAACGCACTGTGATGAGAAGCTTGGCAGGGACAAGCGACTGTGCTCCAATTACAGTGTTGTCACTGTTTTTTCTGCTCCGCACGCTCTCATTCTTCACCTGGTGTCAAACTGGTTGGAAGTTTTTAAAATCAATGTTTTTTTTTTCCCCCACCAGCTAATAAACAACTCAGTTTTACGGCCTTGAGATATTGTTTATTCCTGCTAAGTCTCCGTGAGCACATTTATTTGACCTTTATTTTTCCAGGAAAAGTCAAACAGACCTGTGTGTTCTTCTTCAGCGCGGTTCTCCTTCATATTCATGCAGTTACAGCTACATTCACACGCGGGAGCGCCACAGTGCGAACACGCTATCCTACTGTCGGCCACCGCGCAGCTCCGCGGGACAAATGGCCCCAAATCAAAAGAGTGAGGTCACCGCAGCACATCAGCGGCGCGGTGAAGGTCGAGTTCAGGTTTAATAAACATGGCAGCCGCCCGCTCCCTTTGTTTGGTGTTTCATTATGCTATCAAATATTGTGTTATTAGCGGCGTTCTCATTTTATTTAAATCATTGCAGCTCCCCTGCTGATGTCTTTGATGGTGTATCCATTCACATTTCTCTTATTGAAATGTCTGCAGGAACCTAGAATACAGGTTAATGAAGTGCTACACTCCTTTAATGTTCCAGCACCAATCTGCACCACCTTTTTACAGACAGACAATACCATTCCTCTCAGTTTGAAGCTTTATTTCTCTTCAACAACCACACACCACATATCTCGTCCTGTTTTTGGCCCGATTCTTTTGCTAAAGAATAGAGGTACGAGTGCTGGATAATAAGCATAGACTATGTACAAAAGCTGATTGTTGCCAACATGTTGGCATCCATTGGTGTTTGTTCTGCTGATTTAAAGCCTTTAGTTTTGCGTTTTGGCTGTCACCATCCCGTTAGCTTTGAAACAAGTTTCAAATGGGTGCTAATTGTGACTTCCAAAAAGCAGGCTTACATGATTAAGCCCGATCGCTAAATGATTTTTAAAGAAATACTGATGTTATGATACCTCTTTGATATTCATTTCTTTCACACACACAAAACATAAAGAGGTCTTCCTAACTGTTCTTATGTATAGTATTTACTCATTTATGCTCAAACCTGTGCCGAGTCTCCACTGGTGGACGAACTAAGCCTTGTTTTCTAACCCCTGTTTTGGTACCGTTCTCTGAAAAGGCTCATTTTTCAGGTACAGTTGGTCATTTTAACTTGTGACTCTTTATGGGGTTGACTCTTTTTCTGAGCCTGCTTAAACTGGACTTTTGAAGAATTGCAGTACTTTCAAACTGGCTTTATTTTTCAGCTTAAATTGCTGCTGGAGATTAACACAGATTTACCAGCTCTTGCTCTAGTCAACAGACTGGCTTTAACCTTGGTCAGATATGACCAGTAGGGGCGGGTTTTAATAATCGATTCATCGATTAAAATCGATTCTGGCTTGGATAACGTGATATCGATTCATTAAAATCTTGAATCGATTTTTTTATATAAATGTATTTTGTCCAAAATTCCAGAATCTCAGGTGAAACGTCACAAACTTTTGACAACCACCAAACATTTAAAACGGTAAATGAGAGCAGGAACACGGCTTCTGAACAAAGACGTAAACACAAAGCACTACCCGCAGATCAGAATCAGTGAGATGTCGCCTTTCTCACCCGACGGCACGGACACGGTCGGGGCTGAAAGCCAACAGCTCGCTGATTCTGATGTTTCGGCGGGTCCGCGCTTTGTGTTTACACCCTTTTTGCGCTGATTCGAAAGCTGTTAGTTTTATCTCTCTCCAAACAATATTGACCGAACCAGCAGCAAAAGAAGATCCAAACTAAGCTTCACATAAACACCGTCATTGACTCCCTCTGACTTTTGCTGTTTTGCTTCCACCACGATAAAATCACACTTCATGCACAGCTCTCGCATTCTCTCTCTCTCTCAGTGTACTTCAAGAACAGTTTCCCGTCTATATCCGAAATCTGTTTTCTGCATTATTCGCTTGCTTGTTACGCACAAGTCTACTGTTACTTACAGCGCTGTTGGCCAATGTTTTTTTTTCCTTATACTCACTTCCGAAAAGAAAACCTAGTTTCTGCCGTTCAACAGGCTTCTGAACAAATTTAAACTTTTTAAAGTTATACAAAATGCAAAACGCTTAGCCGTGTCTCTAATAAAACCGCTGTAACTTCAGAGGTAATGTTCATGTGTTGATTAATGGTTTTATTTCGTTTTTGATGTACTGGAGAATATCTTTATAAAATCCCAGGCCAGGAAAATCACCTTCATGTTTTTCTGTGTTTTATCTTCAGCTACTTTGACACAAAGGCATCTGCTGTGATGCTTACACCTTTGATAAAGTCTTGCGAGTGTCAGCTTCCTTCTTATAGATACAAAAATACGGAAATGTACTGATCTGAATTATAATATTTCTGACTGTCTGAGGCAAAATTTCCCAGATTCAAATCGAATTGAATCAAATCGTGGATCGAATCGATTCAGGACCTTGTGAATCGGAATCGAATCGATTCTAGAAATCAGTGACGATACCCAGCCCTAATGACCAGTATCTTCTGAAGGCTAACATTAATGTTAACAAACTTCAGACAGATGTTGATCTTTATCTGATTTAGTGGCGCTGACCTCTTGTTGTACAGGAACCGCACATTTTAACATGCCAAATATAAACACAGTGTGACTCACACACCTTAAAGTTGAGCTCATTTAGACATCATCATTGTTCATTTGGAGTTACGCTTATGTCCATTTAATAAATGTATTAACTCTTCTGTTAGTTGCTCTAGTCTCTCTTGAAGGAAATATATTCTCCCTTTTCCCTTTGTTTACTTGCTGGATGGAAACTTTATGCAGCACTTTGTCCTGTACAGATAACTTTTTTCTTTCTTTCTTTTTTTTTTAGCTTTGTGACAATAACTGTGTGCATCAGCTGGAGATTGGAGCTGTGTCTCCTGGTTAGAAAGATTATTGCCTTAAAACTGTCGAGTGTTATTATATTATTTTACATTGCTCAACTGCCACTTTTAGTGATCTAAATTGTCCTTTGAAAATCAAACGCTGCGTTGTCTCGACTCCATCCTGACAGGCTGGTTATATCCGAATCGATGGCAGCGTACCGTCATCAGAGCGAATCCAGTTGGTCCACAGATTCCAGAGTGACCCAGAAACCCGAGTGGCCATCCTCAGCATCCAGGCAGCTGGACAGGTACTTGCATACTTATCCAGCAGGCTATGCAGGCTATGCTTGATCATAATAAAGGAAATAAGACACCCTGCAGTCAATTGGAAAATCAGCTAAATAGACTCAATTTTGCATATTAGAGGTAATTATGGTTTGTACTGGTTGCTGTGAATCCTAATATCATAGAGAAATGAATGGTGGAAACGTGTTCTAGTCTTAATAATAAACTCATTGACCTCAATTATTCTGAGTGACCAACAGAAATGTTATGCATTCCAATCAAAAGAAGTGGGTGCTTGAAGCACTTACGTATCAATTAGCTGATAATATTCTGCTATTAAAAAGAATTTCAACAAATTCAATTTCATTCAATCGGACTGGATTGTTCCATTTTTGAGGTGGTTGTACTGGGTACTCTGAAACAGATATGTAGCGTGTGTGTTTGTGTGTGTCCTCTCCAGGGTTTGACCTTCACCGCTGCCAGCCACGTGGTGTTTGCCGAGCTCTACTGGAACCCCGGTCACGTCAAGCAGGCTGAAGATCGTGCCCACCGCATTGGGCAGACGTCCTCCGTCAACGTGCATTATCTCATTGCCAAGGGCACCTTTGACACCGTCATGTGGTCCATGCTCAACAGGAAGGTACTGTGGGTGACATCATGGCAGCAAAGTTGGAGAAATTTATGCAAAGCTGCTTATGATTTCACTGGTCATATTAAATTTGAATGATAAATCACCCTTACTGCTCTTGTACTGATTAGGCTCTTCAGTGTTTTTAATGGAGGCAATACTAACATTTGCATATTGCTACGCAATAAGTTTTAAGAGTAATCCAGAAGTTTCTCTTCCTGGACAGGATGTTTCTGTCTCCAAATTACGATTACACATCATGGCTTCCAAACTGATCATCACAAACGAAGTTGTGAATAAATTTTAATGATTTCTGATCTGAAAAATATTTACTTACCACATTTTCGGTGACCAATTGTTACAGTTTTGCCTTTGTGCACAACCGTAATAGATTTAAGACCTCACGCAAGTAGGTTTGTCAACATAGGACAACAGTGGTGAGTGATCGCAGGACCTTTTTCATGGTTAAAGGGAAAACTCCTTTACGACATCCAACCAAGAGAAAACCCTTTTTCCTTAAACTGTTCACTTGAGTTTCTTATTGTTTTATTTAAAATGTATTCTTGTGGTGTAAAGAAGCAAAACTGTAAAAACCAAAAAAACCAACAAAAAAATGTGTCACTGTTCATAAATTTGTGGACCTAAGTGTGAAGTGAAGGTACAACATAAGGTTCCTTGTGTTTCAGGAAAAGGTGACTGGCAGCACTCTAAATGGAAGAAAGGAATATCTGAAGGCCGACGAGGGCGACAAGGACAAATGGGAGTTCCTCAACTTTGCCAACGCGTGGACGCCAAGTGAGATGGCGCTGCCGCTGGAGGGAAGCACAGGAAATGCCAAAACCGACGTCTTCTTTACTCATGTGAGTCAGCAGGAAATCTTCAACAGACATCTATTTCTTTCTCTCTTTAAATTAGCTCTGACATGCCGAGCCATCGAGTATAAAGCCACAGGAGCTTTCATAATAAATGAGTCTAATTTCATATAAAGTCATCACACTTACTGTTTGGTTTGTTCCTCATTTCTCTATGCCACCACTGGCTCTGTAGCTCCATAGCAAAGCATAATGTGATGTATGAGAAAAGAAAGTTGCTTTTTCTCGTTGCCATCATAAATAAATCTGCACGAGGACCTTGGGAGCTCGAGAGCTGTGGTCCGGGTGGCGATAACTAAATCGCTGCATAAGGAGTTCTTGTTGCGGCATTGTCATTTGAAACTGAGTGTAGAAAGCTGTTAAACTTTGTGTGTAGTCAGAAGAATTGGACGAATGCGTCCTGGGCGCAGATTTTCATGTTTACTGTGATTATTGTACGAATGTAAAAGAAAACAAAAGCATGCACACAGACGTGGAAACGTTTCACACTACTGATAGGCCACAACATTGAAACCACACTTTGAATATTGTGTAGGCTTTCACTGCCACACGAACTCTGAGCTGTTAAAGTGCAGACTCCTGGAGACCTTTGACATTTGTCCTCTGGAGCCCAGACATTAAGCAGCAGATCCTTAAAGTCCTGCATGTTGCGAGATGGGGACATCCTCACAGAGACATCCCACCACATTCAGATCTAGGCCAAGTCAGCACCTTGAACTCTTTGTCAAGGTCCTGAAAAGTGTTTGCAGTGCGACAAGGTCCGTAATCCTTCTGAAATAGGCCACGGCCACCGGGGAATCCCGCTGCAACAAATCCAGCTCCAGCTACGCTCACGCCTAGTCAAGTAGTGTGTGGGGTGTAAAGGTTGTATCCCTAAAAAAGTTCAAATTCATTTAATTTTTCAGTCAGAGGCTGAACAAGTTTACCATTTAAGGCCATTTCATACTGGAATATCTTGCAAACATGAACCAGTAAGTCCAGAGAGGAGGTTCTTTTGTTATCTGCCACTCACACTTTCTGTCTCAGTTTCACATCAGAAACCCTTCCTCTTCTTTTTCTTCTTTTATTGTGAAACATTCGGAGGAACAGTCTGTGGAAAAATCACATTATGAGCAGATATTTGCTGCTCTTTGTTGTTCATTTGTAAGGTTGTCCGCTCATTACCAGCAATTATGTCCTTAGCTGTTAGCTCTGCACTCCTCTCTGACTGTTGGCGACTAAAATCTGCTCCAGTTGGTGGAAACAGGGTGTTGTGTCACATCTTAGAATGTTTCAATTTCACTTGTCGGTGGTTTTAATGTCGCAGCCAAATTGGTAAAATGTGTAACGCTTGTTTTTTTTAAGAAGAGACACATGGTACTGTTAGGATCATTATTTAATGACTGTGATGACTCGAGACGAAAAATGAAGACACTTTATAGTGTGATGGATTTATGAATTATGAAAAACTGAAAGAGCTGCACAAAATTTGTGATCAACATTAGAACATTTTGTATTTGTAGCATTGTATTTTTACATTACTGATGTGTAAAGAATTAAATGGGGTTTCTGATCATCGTTGCGTGTGTTACCATGGTGTTGCTGTATGCAAATGACTGCCTTTGATGGTGAAAACAAAAGGAGGATTTGATTCAGGGATGCTTTGTCACTTTACAGGTGGATTGAAAATTGGGTGCTACAGAGACAAAAACCGACTTGAGCTTGTATTTTTATTCATTATTTATTTTATATTTTTTGCTTTAGTTTGAGAAAGAAAAGCAGCACGACATCCGTTCCTTCTTCTCTCCGCAAGCTGGCAAGACGAAGAGGAAGAGAACAGAAGATGAAGAAAGTCCCTCCATCTCCTCAGAGACGGCTGCCACGCCAGCTGGCATCCGGGTATACTTAGAAAACAGCGAGGAGGGGAACGAGGAGTCATGCTCCCAAACCTCCAAAACGCCCGATCGGGATTTCTCGCCCCAGCTGAAAAGGCTGCGAACACCGCAGCCCAACCGGAGCCCCACGTCTCGATTTGGGGGGAAGCGGAGGTCGTCTGCAGGGGGGATCAGCGCAGGCAGACCTGCCAACGCGGTCTCCCTAATGTCTCAGCCGTCTGAGCCTGATCCTGCATCCGTGTGGAATTGCGGGGCCTGCACCTACTCCAACAGCAGCCTGTTGCCATACTGCGAGATGTGTGAGTGCCCGCGCTCTACCTCTGCTGTCAGCTCAGGTAAGAGTAAGGAACAAATAATATCCAATTATCCGATCCCCCCCCCTCCTCTCACCCATCCCACCCCCAACCTGCTGTTTGCGTCTGCCTGTGTGGCCCTCTTCTTCTTCTTCTCCATCTTTCTCTTTATTTTGCTGTTGTTTATTTTTGTTTTTAATTAAATTCACAAACCTGATTGCAAATCAAACTGAATTTTATTAAGGAAACGCACGCGCTTCCATCATCTCTTGTCTAAAATGAAGCACCTGAAGCTGAAATCCATTCATTGCTTTATTTTCCTTCCTGTCAATATCAATCGTGGCAGTCTGTTGACATAATACTTTTGAACAGCATTACAGATTTCACCAGATGGAGATGCGAGATAGCAAAAGATGGAGGCAGACTTCCCAGAGTCTGAAATAGCACTGCTCAGAGAATATTGTCTGTCTCCCTCTCCTCTCTCTCTCTGCAGATGACAAGGACACAGTATAATTCTCACCTGTCAAGCTGAGAGAGAGAGCGAACAGGCGCCTACTATTGCTGCAAACGTCTCACACAAAGTTGGGAAAAGTTGAGCTGGCTCGAGCTGATATCTCTGACAGCCTATGATTGTATCTTGCAAAGAAGAGGGGAGGGAAGTCGTTATGACCTGGCAGACTGCAGGTCCATGCTCTTTAGATGTCTGAGATGCATCAAATCAGTTTGAGAGATGATTTAAAAAAAAATAAAATCCCCAAACTTGAATGTAGTTCACAGCTGTAATGTTTAGGTAACATGAGTTTAATACTTTTAGTACTCCACTGGCTGAATAAAGCCTTATATGAGCATGAGCTAAAGATAAGTCATTAGTAAAAAAAAACCTAGTTTACGGCAGGTTAAGGTAGCATTTACCGATTGCTTTATAAAGACAGACTGCACTGCCTGATCACACACTTTATTTGATGCACTTAGAGGAGGCGTATTACTCTTCTCCTTATTTTATCCCACATATATCCTGTTAAATAATGAGGTCAGACTCTGTGCAAAGTAATCCCAGTTATACACTTTTTTTCTACTCTTGGATCTATATGATGCCCAAGAGGGTGGACATCCCTAATATGGTCGTTGCAGGCACACAGCCAAGAGCAGCGAGTCAAAAGGAGCAGGTTTAAGGCGAACCAACACAGAGTATCAACAAAGACCAGCACAATGAAAAAAGATTATTTTGATCTATCAAAAGCTACTGTAGTCCAAGAATAAAACTGAGAAGTTAAAAATGAGCACAGCAGGTCAATTTTAATCAATTCATGTTTTTAACTATGGTACTTCAGAAAATTATTAAAATGTTTAAAACAGAGCAAAATGCACACTGATGAATGACACAGTTTAATCTCAGTGTCAGAGTAGTTATGTATCCAGACGAGTCATAAAAAAGTAATTCCACATGAGCATAACCTCTGGCCTTCCAGACTGCCAGCTCGATGAGGTAGCAGAGTACAATACTGTCAAATAAAGCCTTTCAGGCTTGATGTTGAAATCTAAATTATTAGTTGGAGAACAGTAATTATAAAGAGCACATCTACCATGAAAAGCCTTTTTGCTCCAGTGAGGGTGTTTGCTTTTATTCACCTTCACTCTGAAAACATTTGAGAATTTGGGGAAGAAGAAAAGGGGGGAAAAAAACACTTGTTGGCGCTTTTACCAAAAGACAGGTGATGATTGATGTTAGCCTCGTGTTCGTGAGCTAAATATGGAGCTGGAGTCGGTTGGCTTTGAGAACAGCTAAGCTAGATGTTTCACTAAGTTTAAAAGTACCGTTAACCTTGTAATGCCTAAACCATAAAATAACTGCAAAAAAATTAACATCTTTGAAACTGCAGTGTTTATTGAGATACTCTTGGCGTTACAGGGTTAACAGGATTTGTTAAATACGATGTGTCGCATTTATTCAATCTATGCCTTTTCCAGGTTTTACATTTTGGAACCATGGCGGACAAAGAAAGTCCCAGGAGGACACCATAGATTGTTTATGATAAGACACAGCCTCTGAAAAAGGCCAGAGCTCACCATACTTTCTAATGGCCAGCAGGGGGCGACTCCTCTGGTTACAAAATGAAATCTGATTGTATAGAAGGCTATGGCAAAATGATGCTACTTCTCACCTGCTTTATGACCTCAGTCAAATCATTCCACAGGTTTTGTTTTCTTTTTTGCTTTATTTTGTGAATTATGGACCCACTGCAGGTAAAATAGATAATAAAGGTGAGTATGAGTTGGGGCGTGGCTACACAGTCCCCTGTTTTCAAACATATTCCTGCTACACCCTGTCCTTGCTCCAAGAGAATGAAAGCCAAAATACCAAAGTCGAAGTTTTCAAACAAATGGCAACATTGTTGTCCATCTTTTACCTACAGTCTATTATGGGTGATAACATTTGGCTGACTGATAAACTTTAGAAACACGCTTCCCGTAGATTACATTCTACATAAATCTAAGGTTACCTAACTAGTTTAGCATCCTTTAGGACTCTGTAAAATGTTGACATCGATATAGTCGTAACACTATAGCCCTGCGTGTGTTTAAAGAAAAAGGTTGACACTGCATTAATGACTCTGAAGTCTCTGTATTATAATATAAGCGCTATAGTGAGTGCAAGCACACAGTAAATATTGGCTGAAGGTCTGTTTGCGGCTCGGTCCATTGGAAGTGAAGCCGGTGCACTTAAAACAGACACAGAACAAACAAGCAGTACCTCAGCTTTTGAGCAGCATAAAAACACCCACCCACACATTTTTCTTTTTTAACAAAATTCAGCCCCCATTTCATGCTCAGCTGCAGCAGATGCTTGATAACTATTCAGCAATCACACTCTCTTCTTTGTCACAAGCGCCACTCTGCATTCACAGCAGCAGGCCATGTCAGCTTGCTAGACAGGGAATTTAACAACCTGCTAAATTTGTAAATGACAGACTGCGCGGAAAAATAACAACTGTATTTATGAAGATATCTCTCAACTTGGCACTGCAATCCACAGCTCGTGGAAATGTAAGAAAATAATCAGGCCGAAGCCTGTAGTGTGACATGAGAAATGCTATCTCTTCAAGAGCAACAATTTTTCACAATGACTATAAAGAAAGCCAGGACGCTATGAATCACAGAATACTGACACATGATACAAGGACGTCATGGCTTTGTATTTAAAGTAAAGGCAAAGATGTATCCGAGGCATTTGGCTTCCGCTCTGTATTTTCACAGAATGGCAAAAATACAACAAGCCAGCAGCTGTAGAGGAAGAGCAGCGAGCAAACAGAAGGGATATTGGTCTGTTTTACCGTGAGGCGTTTGGACCAGAATAAAATGTACCGGAAAGTAACAGAAGGAGATGCATGAAGTAAGAAGGAATAAGATTTCAAGGGTTTTTTCTTTTGTTCAGTGGAAAGTATTGATGCTAGATGTGGGAAGCAGGAGAAACGGGAGCTTAAAACCTGGCTACCACCCTTTGCAGAGCCCTGTGTTTCTTTAGCTGTCGTGGTTACATCTGTCAATTCTTATATTCTAGCACATCACGCTGCAGTGGCAGATTTACTGCCGAAAATGGGAAAGTTTGTCACTTTTAAGTTTCACAACCAAAATAATCAGTGTCACTATAGATTTTAAAGGGTACATTTAATGGTAGATTTTCAGCTCTAGATTCTCATTCCCGGGCTCATCTAGACTCGTTTTGCATAATTGACAGTTTAAAAGAATCCCTTTTTATATCAACTTTATATCAACTCAGTGAAACGTCTTTGTTCTTCTGTTTTAAAAGTCGTTTCAGCTGCTCTCTCTTTAAGCCCTCCCTTCCTAGAAGCCTACTTTATGAATGACTAACTTCCAAAAGCTTGCCAAAGGGCAGCACATAGTGATTATGAGCTGTACCGGCTGTACGATGGGGCGATCGTGGCTCAAGAGTTAGGAGTTCGCCGGGTAATCGGAAGGTTGCCGGTTCGAGCCCCGGCTTGGACAGTCTCGGTCGTTGTGTCCTTGGGCAAGACACTTCACCTGTTGCCTACTGGTGGTGGTCAGAGGGCCCGGTGGCGCCAGTGTCCGGCAGCCTCGCCTCTGTCAGTGCGCCCAGGGTGGCTGTGGCTACAATGTAGCTTGCCATCACCAGTGTGCGAATGTGTGTGTGAATGGGTGGATGACTGGATATGTAAAGCGCTTTGGGGTCCTTAGGGACTAGTAAAGCGCTATATAAATACAGGCCATTTACCATATTTACCATTTACTTCTTAGATGTGCTGTGCCTGTAACTTAAAACAAATCAATTCAATTCAGTCTTATTTATATACCACCAAATCACAACCACAGGCCTGTTATATTGTGAGGAAAAGACCCCTTAAGTAATACAGAGAACCCCCAACAATCAAACAACACACTCTGAGCAAGCACTTGGCAACAGTGGGAAGGAAAAACTGTCTTTTAACAAGAAGAAACCTCTGGCAGAACCAGGCTCAGTGGCCCCTGTGGAGGTCTCCCTGTAAGGAGTGGATATCCAGACTTCCAGTTCCCTCCAACTTCTTACAAATCCAGCTAAATTTTAAAAAGACAAGGTAATTAAAAGCTAAAATTTTGTCTAATGTTAACCCATTGTTTCATCAAATTTTGGAGTCCATCTTTTCCTGTCCGCATGGAGTCTTGTGCGAAACTCAGGTGCTCAAATTTGATTGGTTAGTAGTACTTTGACTACAATAGAATACAAAGAAATAGCAGAAAGCTTCTACTTTCAGTATTCTACATATTCATACATGGAGCCCATTTTTAGTTGCTCTAGTTTAAAGCCTGCGTTTTTTGCTAAAAGAGTACTTTTTCATTTAGCCCCTTTTGAGCTCTAGCTAGCAAGTGTTCGGTAATTAACACCCCCAGCTCAATTGTTGACAGGCTAAATATGTGAGAAAATTATATATTTGCCTGTTTAGCTTGCAGCTAAAACAAAACCTAGTCTTACAAATTGACAAGACCCTGGTGAGGAAGACGGATACATCACTCTTTCCAACACATAT